ATATGGAGGAACTAGGGGGCGGGGGGGGGGAATTGGGGAGGGGATAAAGGAATATTGAACTGTATCATAAAATTATTGCAATAATAATAAAATGTGAAAAAAAAAGACAAAAGAACTTCCAAACAAAAGCATAGAAACAGTTGATGGGTTTATTGATGAGCTCAATACCTCCATCCTTATCCCATATGACCCTCAGTGCATAAAGTCTGATGCCACTAATAAACTTTGGCTATTGATCATCAAAAAAAAAAAAAAAGAAATGAGAGTAATTCAGAGATAGCTGTTGGGGGCAATGCTTTCACTGACCTTTTTGGAGGATTAAGGGAGTGACGTATGTATAGTAACATACACTTTGTCCTGAGCAAGAGGTCTGGGGCATACTGGATGCTCAAGAAATAGTCACTTCTCTGCTTAATCATAACTACCACCTTCTGGCTTCAGAATTTCATGATTCTTTTCATACCATTTGGTTTCTTGTGAATTGGTTCCTATGCTTCCTAGCACATTGTCATCGTCATCATCATCATCATTATCAAAGCTTCTAATGCAATTGGCAGAACTCTAGCTAAAACAAAATTTGAGTTTTGATAAACGATTGAAACAAAAACTGAATTTAGCTTCAATCACATTTTCCTCTTTGTCCCTCTTCATTACTCAAATTATTTTAGGACATGCATGTATGGAAGTTTTGTACATGGTTGAAATTCAGGATTAGTTCAATGTATTACTACAGAATTAAATATTTTTTCCATGGGAACCACTCACTTGCTTTAAAATTCAGGAGAAATATTTTTCTGACTCCAAAAGTTTCTAAGATAATAGTACCATCCATATTGCCAAGAGGAGATTGGAAGGAAGGCAGTATACATAAAAATATAACCACAGAGCTTACTGGTTTTGTACAGAGCTTACAGTCAACTTGGTTTGCACTCCCAATCTGCCTCCTTTTAAATTCTGTGTTTCTGAATAGCAAAGACATGGAAACAACCTAGATGCCCGTTGAAATAGGAATGGATAAAGAAACTGTGGTTTATCTACTCCATGGACTACTACTCAGTCATTAAAAAGAATGAAATTATACCATTTGCAACAAAATAGTCCCACCTGGAGACCATCATGCTCAATAAAGAAACCAATCCTAAAATGACAAATATTGTCTCTGATATAAAAGAAACTTCATGCAAAATACAAAACAAATAGATATTTAAACATGTATATAAATATGTCCTCATAGATGAAGTACATAGTGGAGACTATCAAGGAGTGAAGATACATTAAAGCATGCATTTCTACTCCCCAATAAAAGGAGGGTTATCAATGAATCAGTTAACTATACCTTGAAAGTTTGCTGCTGGATTGTCTATCTTTGCATATACCTACAGTGCCATGATACATTTAAATAGCAGAACATTAAACTTGTAATTGTTACTAAAGAACTATGCTACCATGAAAATATGGAGGAAAATGGTGGGAGAGGGAAAGCTTTGGCTATTGTTGCCATTTGGGGTGCATGCCAACGGACAGAAGATCTCGCTCTGTAATTCTATCTTTCAAATAAAATTAAAAATCTTTAAATTACATGATTCTGTATATACTGATATCTTTTTCAAAAGAGTGTAAACTACTCTGAGACCTGGGTTTGTTCTATTCATTTGGCCACCATCTCCTGGCTGTACCCTGGTCCCACAGTGCTTTGACCATTGTAGATATTCGGCAAAACGTTTGTTAAACAATACCTGATTTTAAAAAATATTAATGATTTCAAAATACCTGATTGATCATAAATTAAATATAATCTCCCTTATTACAGTGGGACTCCCTGAGCTGTGACTGCATGCTTGGATTGGGCGAGTGGCCAGAGGACATTGGAGGGTATCTTATCACTCAGATTGTAGCTGCTATATCATTCATCGCCAATTTTCAAGGAGACTGTATGATGTTGTAGTTAAGAGCATGAGCTACCAAGTCTAACTACCTGGTTTTGAACTTTGGTACTCATCGTAAGATCTTTGGTATGTGGTCTAATTTCTTAGTGTCAGTATTCTTAACTGCACAGTATCATAACAGTAGGATCTCTCTTACAGTGTTTTCATGAAATTTTACTGAGTTATACATTAACATATATTGCAAGGGTCCAGTAATAATGAAGTTCTTTTCTTTATTTTTTCAGAGACTGAGAGCAAGAACAAGAGGAGTGGAAAATAAGCCCATTAGCTAGTCCACTCCCCAGCCAAATCCCTTCAACAGCAAGGCTGGGACAGGAGGAAGCCAGGAACATAATTCCATCTGCTTCTTCCACCTAAGTAACAGGGCTGCAGGTCCTGATAGTAGGATACTTGCTTTCCAGGTACACACTATCAGGAAGTCAGATTTGGGATCAGAGCTGGGACTCAAGTATGGGCACTCCAACCAGGAATGCAGGTATCCTAAGCAGCATTTTAACCACTGCAACAGCCACCTGTCCTGCAACCATTGTTAGAAGCATGTGAAATGCGTCATCTTCTCCTGTTAAGAATATTAGTGAGCATCTTGCTAATTTTCAAAAGACTTTATTTGAAAGGTGGCATTATAAATAGAGTCAGACACACAGAGATCCTTTATACATTGGTTTCATTCTCCAAATGGCCACAATGGCCAGGGTTGGACCAGGCCAATGTCAGGAGCCAGCAGCTTCCTCTGGGTCTCCCGTAAGCATTCAGAGTCCCAAGGACTTGGGGTATCTTCAGCTGCTTTTCTCAGGCACATTAGCAGTGAGCTAGATCAGAAGTATAGCAGTCAGGACTCACACTGGCACCCATTTAAGATGCAAGCATTGCAGGTGATAGCTCTATGCGTTATGCCACAGAGCAGGTGCTAGTATTTAAAATATGCACATATATATTGATATACATACATGCATACATATAAAAGATTCATTCATTTCTTTCACACACACAGGAGAAACTTCCAGCTCATGGTTTATTTCCTAAATGCCTTTGGCAGCCAGAGCTAGGAAGTCGGACAGTAGACAGAAACATTTCTTTTGTAGTCAAAGTGTTTGTAAATATTTGGCATTATTTTTTATTGCCAATACAAGGCCCTTTTCTAAACTAATTTACAAGCTTGCTATCAGATATCAGGTTACAGGAATAGTGAAAAGAACACAGCAACAAATGAAGTCCCAAACTAATGATACAAGACTTCATTTATTCTTGTGCTGGGATCAGGTGAGGTTTCCGTTGGGCCGAACTCGACGTTCGTTGGACTCCAGTTTTGGTCAGCTTGAAAAAACGCAATTTAAGTGTCGTGGGAATGGGATTTTGCCGTGAATCCCCACGGTAAGCGGATGGCCTGTTGACTTCTCCATGCAGATTCCTAACTGGCACGCCACATCAGTCACCCGACCTATCATCTGGATTGCATGAGCAGAAATGTACTTTAAAGGTCAGGTTCAGGAAGAGGAATTTTAATCTAGTGGGCTGTATAGCTGAAACGCCTAAATCTGGCACTCAGCTTCTGCGTTGGCAGAAATAGCTTCTCTTCAAAGAGCAGAGCAGAATGATTTTTTTCAGCTCCTTTCTCACGTTTCTGCCTGTCTCTTTAAACAGGTGGATGATAGAATCACATTCATCTGCCTTCACAGGTACCAGGAGTCCTTGCAATACGTTATTGGCCCTGTATGTTGAAAAGCCGGAAAATACCACAGCAGAAAAAGACCCAGATCTTGGGGTTAAGAGATCCTTACCCTTGTGCTCCTGTGGGCTGGAACAAAGAATCGAGCGCTTTCTTTACACAGGCCCTGTGTAGTCTGTCACTCTCCACAGGCCCACACTTTCATATACCCATGCTCTCTTTCCCTGACAGGAGGCTCCTGCAGTTTATGAGATAAATACAACGGGGGTTTTGCTTTTTTTTTTTTTTGAATAGGCCACATTCTTTAAGGCGGGGGACAAGGCTGCAATTGTTTCCAAACACTCCTAAAAGCTGTCTCTTCAGCCACCTGACCCTAACCTACTTTTCCAGAACAGCCAAGAAATCTCACGGAACCAACAACCCAGAGACCATCAGCCAGCTGTGCGACCCTAGGCGCCTCTCTTCCAAGCTCCCTTAGCCAGAGGGGATGCACGGCCTGTGAAACGGCCCTAACACCTGTTCTGACGCCCCCCGCCACAAGGCTGCGTGCCGCACAACAGACTTTCCACAGAACTGTGCTAAGCAACCGATAAACCGCAACAGCCTTCCCGGGAAGCCGCGTCCGCTTCGGCGTGCAACGGCCGCGTGCCTCCGCAAGCGGGCTTGCCGGCATCCAGCGTGTCGGTCTGTGCGCCTCGGGGAAGAGGCGTCCGGTGGGACGAGGTCTGGAAAGCTGGCTACCCAGCGAAGCGGAGAGTTCCCGAGCCGGGTGAAGTTGTTGGCGGCATTTCCAAGTCCCCCCCTCCCCGTGCACGGACAGCGCGGGAACGTCCCCAGGCCACCTCACAAAGCGCTCGGAAAAGCCGGCTCGCCTCCGGTGGCCCCGAACCCTCCCAGCGCCAACCGGGTCCCCGGGACCCCCGACCTGGCCCTCGGCCCCTCAGCCCCCCGACAATCACGTCCCCCAATCCCCTCCTCCACGTGACAAGGGCCGGAACCGTCACTTCCGGCGGCGCCTGCGCGGGGGGGCGCGGGGGCCGGCCTGGGAGCGGTGGGCAGCGGCAGCAGCGCGGCGCGTCGCCAACGGGCGCGGGCGACGGGCGAGGGGGCGGCGGCCCGGGGGTGGGGGGCGGCTACGGGTCGTCCGGCTGCGAGGCCCCGGCGTCGGCGGCAGGCCTCGGCGCCCACGCCCCTCTCGCCGTCTCCTGCCCTCGCCGCCCGCGGCTCCCGGGCTCCCGCCCCGAGCGCTCCGCCAGCGCCGCCGAGGGCGCCCCGGGCACTGGCGGAGGCGGTGTCCTCGGCGCCCCGCACTCGGGCCCGCCCCCTCGCGCCCCGCCCCGTCCCCGCCCTCTCCGCCGCCCTCTGCGGGAGCCCGGCAGCTGCAACGGAGCCGCGGAGCGGGCGGCGGCGGCGGCGGCGGGGCTGTGCGCTCGGGGCGCGCGGAATGTGAGGCTCGGCGGGCCTCCTGCGCGCACGGACGCTCGGACGGGCCAAGGGCGGACACCCCTCTCGCGGACGCCCGGCCCGCGCGCGGCGCCGGGGACTCGCCCTCTCTGTTCGCCCTTGCGCGCTCCCCGCGCCCTCCAGCGCCCCGGCGGGACCATGAAGAAGTTCTCTCGGATGCCCAAGTCGGAGGGAGGCAGCGGCGGAGGCGGCGCTGCGGGCGGCGGGACCGGCGGGGTCGGCGTCGGCTCCGGCAGCTCGTCCGTGGGGGTCCGGGTGTTCGCTGTCGGCCGCTACCAGCTCACCCTGGAGGAGTCGCTGGCGGAAGGTACAGGCGCCGGGGGAGCGTGGGGCGGGCAGGTGAGGGAAGGGCTGGGGTGTGGCGGTGGCTTCTCCGGGTCCTCGCCCTCTCGACTCGACTTCTTTCCTGTTCTGCCACCTCTGCTGGGTCGGCAGCGGCTCTCGAGAGGAGCTCCCTCTGGTTTCGCTCCCAGGCTTGCTGTGTCGGTGCAGTTTTTCTCATTATGAGTTTAAATCATTTCCCTGGCCTGGGTGATGCGAGGAGATAAACCGAGAAGACTTCCGAGCAGTCGGTGTGATGTTGGAGAGCGGACCAGTGACTCCAGGTGGCTCAACCTCTGCTGGGTGTCATGCCGTGGCCTCCCCGTGCGCCGCAGGGCGCAGCACCCTGCGTCCCCTGGTGTCGCGCCTGAGCGGGCGTCGTTTTTGAGGGGGATGTTTTGGCCCAAGTTCAGTAGGTTGGTTGTTTTTGAGGAGCTGGTAAACTTGAACCCCGCCCATTTATCTTTGTTATTTAGAATCCTCTTCACGGGGTCAGGTGCTGCTCTAGCCCTCCCACTGGCTCTTCTTGGATAGACTTTAACGGGTGAAGGGAAAGCAGGTTAACTTTCACTTGTAAAGTCTTTTGCGTAGCCCTTCGGCGTCTCTAACAAGTTATGACAGCAAGTAGACTTGCAAAAAGTTTATTCCTTAAAAAAAAAAAAGACCTGAACTTTAGTTTTGTGTTTCTGTGTGTCATTGGTTTATAGAAAATACTTTGGCTGGTTTATTACACGCTTTATTGACCTTTGAGCTTTTTAATTGCAAAGTGGTATTACAAAGTGAATGACTTTAAAAGACGCACGAAAGTAATTTCTGTTGGTAAATGGCCCTCTCAAGTTCTAAAGTTAAGAAAAATGAGAGAGCAGTTCTGTTTCCTGAGACATTGATGTGGTTTGAGACAGTAGACTGAGATTCCACTAGTATGTGTGGGTTTTTTTTTTAAATATATATATATGCTGTAAACGATAGTGGATGGGAGAGAAAACCTGCAGTTTTTTTTTTTTTTTGTCTATAAATTGTCTAAAGGGAGATAATTCTTGAGTAGTTCAGGGTACATGTAATTATTCTGAAGGCCATTGCCCACGTTGATGAGGTCAGATGGATCTTGGAGATGTGGGAGGTGAGCTTAGCTTCTTAAAGGAATGTGCATACAGCAGTAGTCTGTATGGAAGGTAGTCTAAGCGAAGGCATTTCCTGGGGGTCTGTTATGCACGAGTTTTACGTTTTGGTTTAGATGAGTGTGTGGATTTTAAGAACACTTGGCAGTTAGCTCACGATTTGTAGTTGTGTCTTTGAATTCTGTGTGCAGCTGTGGTGTCATGCTCATTTGATTGCACGACATCCAGAAAGATTTCATGTAGGATATAGGATGGAAAGGATATATTGGCATTTCACAAACTAGATTTTGATTTTGTAACTTCTGTCATTGCCCTAGGTGTATCCTATCCTACCACCATAAGCAAGTCATTTTTAGTAAAAAGTGACTTTGGGAAATGAAAACAAGAATGAATGTCAAAAGAAGTCTTTGTAAACCACAAAAACAAAAATGCCTTTTAAGCACTAATGTCACTGTTACTGTTCCACTTTTTACCAAAAGTTTGTCTCTTATTGAGAAAAATCAGTAATGGGAAGAATTGAGTTAAGAGTCCGGTTTTGGAAGATGAAACTGTTATCCCAGGGCCCAGCTCCTGGGACTGGACTTGAAGTCTTCCCCTGCCATAGCTGCTCTTCCAGTGCCAGTGTGCACAACTGAAATGACGTGCACGATGCTCTTCTATTACTAAAGGGATTACATCCTTCTAAGCCCATCCCTGGTTGGAAAGTGTGTTTGATTCACCTACTGAGCATCATAGCTTAGCCTAACCCACCTTAAATATGCTGAAAAGGGACTGGTGTTACTGCATGGCTGGTAAAATCACCACCTGTGAAGTTGATATCCTGTGTGGGCACTAGTTCAAGTCCTGGCTGCTCCACGTCCAGTCCAGCTCCTTGCTAATTTGCCTGGGGAAGCAGCAGCAGGCTAAGGTATCCGTACCCCTCTACCCAGATGGGAGATCCAGAAGTTCTTTGGGTCCTGACACTGGCCTGGTCCAACTCTGGCTGTGTCCAGTTGGGGTTGAATGCAGTGGATGGGAGATCAGTGTCTGTCTGTCTGTCTGTCTCTCTCTCTCTGTAACTTGTGCCTTAAAAGGAGAGAAATCTTGAAAAGAAAAAAGTATTTAGAACACTTACATTGTCTTATAGTTGGGCAAAACCCTCTAACACAAAGCTTATTTCACAATAAAGTATTGAGTATCTCAAATAATTCAGCGAAAACTGCTGTACGTGAAAAACCTATGATTGTAAGGTATGCTTTCATACTGTAATAAAGTTGAAAAAAAGGCGTTTCTCAAACTTTTGTTGTCGCAGTTCAGTTTACTTTTTTATTTTGATTGGTTTGGCTTTTATTTCAGATAGTTAATATCCATTTTCCCTTCAAATAAGTTTAAGCACAAGTTATGTTCAAATGTAAACATGATTAATTAGTAATTGATGGGTTTGACTAGTTCTAAGACTGGGGCAAGTGTTTGCCAAAGCAAGGCACTAGAATATAGATTACTTGAATTGGAACCTACTAGCCATGATGTCAGATGTCTCATGTCAGATGTCTGATGTCGGAGTGCCTGGTTTGCATCCGGGCTCCTGTTCCTGACTCAGCCTGCAGTCTTGGGGTTACTGTCATCTTTGTGGAGGCCTATGTGCAATTCCTGGCTCCTGGCTCCTGGCTTCTACCCTGGCCCAACCTTGACTGTTGTGGAGTTTGAACTGGTGGATCAGACCCTCTGTTCCCTCCTGTTTTCTGCCTCTTGAAAGAAAGGAAAGAAGGAAGGAAGGGAGAGAGGGGAGAAAAGAGAAAAAGAAAGAAAAATTCAGTTAAGAGAGGTATATATAATCGAGTATAAAACAGATCAAAACCCAAACTTGGTAGCTTTTGTGCTGGTTTCCTTGGGTCGGTGTTGTGTAAGCACACAGTAGGTGCTGTGCCCTGGGGTGTTTCTGCTGTGCTGTTGCAGACACAGGCAGCTTACTGAGAACAACCTCTGCAGGGTCAGTCTCTCTGTGCTTTGTAGTTACCCTGTATAATTTGTTATGTTCCAGAAAGTCACCAGAACACTGACTTAGATGCTGAACCATTGCTCCTAGAGGAAGTAGATGCTTCTGTTCCTGCAAACCACTCATCACAACATTTCAGCTGATCAGTATACATCCTTGTTAATGCCTGCTTCTGTTTAAGGACAGAATTTGAGATATATTATTGATAGATTTTTTTGTGTGTGATGTATATTGTTGATCACAAAAGCTAAAATCACAGCCATTAGCCCTATAACTCACACTAAAGGGCCATTTTCAACAGTGAAATCAATAAGAAAAGCCCAAATGGGAAAACATGTCACTCAACAGACTACACCAGAGACACTTATTTACCATAGGAGAAGTGAAACAAGAATGTGCAGGTCAGGAAACAAGGTTTGTCATGCCTTGGACATGTGTGTAAGTGGCCATGAAATCAAGTGCCAGGAGTAGTGGTTTTGGTGATACATCTGTATGGTGACTAGATGAATTTGCAAACATAGGACCTAATAAAAAATCAGCTTATGTCATGTACATATGCCATACACATTTATAATTAAGATTTTGTGGTATACTTACATTGTGTATAATGAATTGTTGAAGGAATTTCCTCTCAAACATTATGTACCTTGCTGACAACCGTCTTCTTTCTCTTTCTTTCTCTTTCTCTTTCACTTTCTTTTTCTTTTTTTTTTTAACCCATCTATTCAAAGTTTGGAGGACTGAGGTAGTGAGAACTTTTTAATTTCTTTTCAAAATGGGTTATTTTCAGGAGTTTCTGCCAAACGCGTCCCAATTTGTATCTGTAGAAATAGACAAATCTGTGTTGGAGAAGTGACCAGGGTCAAAAACTATGCATGGCATATGCAGGAGTTAGGTTTTACCTAAAGTGCAACTGGAACTTATTGAGGGACTTAAATGGGGGCTGTAACATGTTCTGATCATGTTGATTAGTTGATTATTATGTGGAAAATGGTTGATGGATGTGCAAATTATATGACTCTAGTGGTGACAATGGAAATGAAGATGAATTTTTATTTGAAAGGTGAATTTCACGCACAGAGAAGGAAAGACAGAGAGAAAGGTCTTCCATTTGCTGGTTTATTCCCGAAATGGTCGCTATGGCCAAAGCTGAGCTGATCAAAAGCCGGGAGCCAGGAGTTTCTTGTATGTGGTTAAGGGGTCCAAGGACTTAGGGCATCCTCTGTGGTTAACAGCTAAATCGGAAGTAGAGCAGCCAGGACGTGCACTGGCACGCATATGGGATGCTCACGCCACAAGGTGGAGGACTGACTTACTGTGACACACTAGTCCTGAAGATGAACTTTAAACAAACATTTTATTAAAATAGAGTGTGCGTATCCAGAAATGCACTTCAGTGTACAAATGAATGATTTTTTTTTCTTGAGGTGGAATGGGGAGGGGCCATCTGAGTACCTCATAACCAGTACTCAGTTTAAGCACGAAACAAAGGATTGCTGGTAGTGCAAGGGTCCTCGTTTCTTCCTCTTCTTTTAATGTGTGAAATAAAGAGTATTGTCATTTGTATGATATGATTCACTGAAGTAACATTTATAGCAAATGGTGTAGAATCCACACAATTTTTGTTCCTTCTCTTAACTACCAGAAATTAGAGAAAATGTGATTGTTTTTCTTTTGGGATCTCACTTTGCTTGGCATAATGATCTGTGCCTGTGTCCACTTTGTTGAAAATGAGATTTCTGTTTTTACAGCTAAGTGATACTCCATGCAAGTCACATTTGTTTATCCACTCATCGTCTGATGTACATCTAGGTTGATGCAGTGTCTTAGCTATTGCAAATTGAGGTGCTGAACATGAGAGTACAGATCTCTCTTGGATGCTACTTACATTTC